GTCTCCTAATGAATATTTATAGAAATAACCCTCAGTGGAAAAGGATGGAAATCTGTGGCCTCTAATTATGATTGATGACCACCATTTACCTTTCATTATATGTCTTTCATCGTATTGAATCTATAAATTTAACACAACGTTGAATTTATCAAATTAAAATGGGTAGCGAGTTACCGACTTTCTCGGACCGTATGTCTTCATTATCTTTCGGAAAGAAATATATAATTTTCGTTCCGTTCTGATGAATATCTCATTCATAATAATCCATGCCAGGAGGTAGGAATTGGGTGATAATGATAATTCATATAATGACTTCGGTGTAGCTAAACGAAAAGAAACACATTTCCATGCAATTCTCGAACTCAAATTGTACAACTCTTGAGAATGGGGTCGGAAACATATATCGTGTGAATTGAACAGTTTGCGTATGATTTAGCCAAGTATAAAAATATTTTGTTTGTACATCTTTTACATCTATAGTTTATGAAAAATTTCTTCTTATTTGATGAACTGATGCCATCTAGGTTGCGATGGTAGAAACGCTCGGTTATACCTGTCTAGAGGTCGCCATTGAGGGATTACTTAAAACATGAAGAAATAGACTACAAGAAAAATAATTCTATATTATATTCTTTTTCATATTTATATTCATACCTCGTAGTCTGCAATAGTAACTGTCTTGCGTTACCAACAAATATAGGCACCGATTTGAATATTCTCTAATAATTATTCATTGAAGGAGAATAGAGACGTTGTACATGTTTCACATAGCCACCTCTAAAATATGGTGTTGAATCTTCATGGAAAATAATCAAAGAAAGTAATAGTAAATATAACAGTTTCAATTTATTTTATCTCTGACGGAAAGACGACAAGTAATTGACAAACTCTGATATTGCTTTAAGAGTAGTGATTCAATTTCATTATGATAAATTTCAATACTTATTACAATAATCATTTACCTAAAAGTGAAGAAACGACAATGAATGTTCGTTCTTTAATTCTCGGTTACTTTCTTAAAATCTTATTTCATTTTATAATTAAATGCATATAAAGGTTTATATCTTATTCTTTCTTGTATCATATATCTTGCATCTGCTTTTTTGATTTTATAGATCTATGAAGAGCTTTTATAGATCTATATGTCGTTTTGATATCTATATCAAAATGACAAATTTTATTCTTGAAAAAAAAAATTAAATTACTTTTTTTGTACTTTCGAAATACAAAAAAGTAATTCCATTTCTTTAAAAAATAAGTTTGACATTTTGAAATCTACAATTATTCATAAAATTCAATTATTTATTAGTTTTGACAAAGTTGTGATATACAACCAAACGTCAAATATATATTATAATACATACATTGCATGAAGTTGGTTAACCAAAAGAAACGAGAAGAGAAAACGTGTATAAAACGGATTTTCTCCTTGTCTGGGTCGCGTCAAGATCCGAATTATTTTTCTGACTAAATCCCGAAAAAGTGAACGTCAAATAAGGAAACTAGACGTGCAAATAAAATGGAGAATTTATACCTCCACACTCATTTCTTTGTGTGGTTAAGCCAAGAGCTTTTTTTGTGGATTCTTTCCATATTTTCTCATCTTGTGTCACATCATTTCGCGTGGAAACACTCGCAGTTCGACCAGATTAGACAAACGGCAGAGAATTTCAATCTCGTTTGAAAAATACCGCTATCACGTAGTTTAAATGAAACAATGCTTTCAGTTGGGGTGTATATAAGTAACGAAACTCACACTGTTTCAATATTTCTCAGTGAACAACTATTTCTAGTTTTTCCATCGATAAAAATTGTCAATTTCTTTGAACGAAAGAAATATTTATCTTTATTTCGGAAAAAATCGATAGTAGTTGGTGTCATCGATGAACTGTCACAAATTTACTTGCTGCTTTGATCCCGTGGGTTTTGTTGATGTTCAACCGACCGTGGTGATAACTATCCAGTCTGTTCTTGTAGGCAGTTACCCTTGGTGCAGTCACCATACTGCCTGGTAGTTCATTCCAAAGTTGCAGCATTCGATTATTAGAAAAATGCGTCCTGAAAAGTCTTTGGACAGGTTTAGTAGGCAGCCTTAGGGAATAGCCATGAAGATTGGTGTAGATATTCCTCTTGAGAATGTCATATCGCACCTATAAGAAGATGTAAGACTTGATAGGTTTTAATCAGGCACATCCTGTCTCTACTAGCTTCAAAGTTGTTAGAAGAGCTCTCAGCCGATCTTCATACCCCAAATGCCTTATCAAATGTGGAACCTCGTGGCTCTCCTTTGCACTCTTTCAAAGAGGTCAATGTCCTTTCTGCATTAAGGGCACCAAAAAACAAATTCATGTTCAATAATCGCCTCAGATATGTTTCACACGCCTTCAAGAACAGATAAAAATACATGTTCTCAAAGAACCTGCATATCATGTATGTGATGGTATTAGCCTATTTTGCAGTCTTCCGAAGATGATGTCACATTTTCAATTGAAAATTATGCAGACTCTCAGATTGACTTACATTCACTGTATTCCAATTATATAATTGCAAATACTTCTCCTTGTTTTAGAAAATTGTTTAGTATTTTCTACATTATTTTTGGGCTATTAGCCCATTTCAGGAGATGACACAACAGCTTGATAATTGAATTTTATCATACACTATAGAGGAAAATACACTTTGTCTTTTTTATTATATGTTTTATTTTGCAACTGCAATTTCGTAGTATTACTATATTGAATATAAATACAGATTTGATCAGCAATAGAGCTTGCATTCATCCTCTTCTGAGTATGTCCTACGCCACGGTCTATTCTTCTACATGGAGCAGAATAAAGTGGTAAAATCCTTATATCTATTTGATTATTCAACGGAAGTAATTCAAATTGACGGTGGTATTTTAATTTTCGCTATAATTTTCTATGAATTCTGAAATATCAAGTTTCTGCCTTCTGAAGTTGATATCTTCAAATTCACTGAGGAACAATTTGAAACATAATTTCTGTTGACTTCGATTTTTGGCTGTATTAGAGGTAAATTTACAAGCTGATTCCAAAAGTTTTCAGTTTTTTTCTATCACGTCAAGGTTTTTTTCTACAGTTGTCGCCCATACTATTCGCTTTGCTGAACTGAACGCGAATTACGGAAATCCCTATCTCACTTCTATTTGTCTAGACTAATTTGGCCAGTTACGCATGGGACATTGTAGTAAACCAGTGTACTTGTCAATCTGGAATAGTGAAGCCAGTTGCTGACCTGTAGTGCAAGATTTTGTATTTACACAAGATTAGCAGTATTTTGTTCGTATTTACATAAAAACAAAAAAATTTCTGCCGCTAGTATTTCGCATCGTAAGTGCTTAAACAGTCCCAATTCGTTTTGTTACATATTATATTTCGTTTTGTTACATATAAAACTAGATATCATGAAGCAATTTGTTAAAGTTTAAAGAAGAGGACTGTTTTAAGTATATCATTTCGACATTTCCTAGCTTGGCATATGAGAAGATAAAGGCTGGCGCCTTTGATGGGCCTCATATTCGGCAACTCATTAAAGATGAGCGTTTCATGAAACAATGACGGAACCTGACAAGAATGTTTCTTTGGAATTCAGAAGTATTGTCAATGACTTTCTTGGAAACACACGCGTCCAGAATTACGTCGAAATTGTTCAACAACTCTTGTAAAGCTTTAAAAAGCTTGAATGTAACATGAGTATCAAACTTCATTTCTTACTTATCCATCATGATTTTAAATTAAATGACATTAAATTTCCAGAAAATCTTGGCGCTGTTAGTGATGAACAGGATACGCGATTCCACCAAGATTTGAAGGTCATGGAGGCAAGGTATCAAGGTAGATGGGATGTCAGTAAGACGGCTGACTACTGTTGGAGCATCAAGCGAGAATGTTTCCAGATTGAACATTCTAGGAAAGTTATAAGGCAGAAATTTTACCATAATATCTTTTTTTATTTGAATATTATAATAACCTTTGTATGAATGAAATATTCTAATATGTTTGGTTAGTACCTATTCTATTTTCCTCTGTATGCCAATTTTGTATGACTTTTAGGGTGAAGAGAGGGTAATTCAGACACCAAAATCTAGTCGAAAACAAGTCGCAGATCTAAGACAACAAAATTGCTCTTTCCCAGTGTTATTTGAGCTGGGAAAGTTTGCCCTGAGTCCGAAATGTGTTCGCAAAATTCGAACTCTCTTGGTTTAGCCTGACGGACTGTTGAATCTTGCAACAATGTTTCTGCCTATTTGTTCTACGTAACAGTCTTAGTACTCATCACAAGTGTTATCTGGAGTTCATGAACTTCAGATTCTTTTGTTCGGTGTATTCGGTGTAGTTGAAAAAAAGTAATATAATACAATAATATTAATGAATTCAATAGACGATCAATCTACTCTGTGATAGTTCATATTTGAATGAGAGGTAATAATAAAAACTTGTCTAAAAATCACTGACTGAACAATTCTTTATTCACTAGTTTCGCCTTTTACAGCATTATCAAGAATGAATACATATTACAAAGACAACCTATGAATATTTTGCAGATCTGTTCGGACCACCTTGAATTTCGTCATAGAGGTGGGGGTTTCCAAATTATCAGAGATATATTATATTATCAGAGATTTGGAAACCCCCACCTCTATGACGAAATTCAAGGTGGTCCGAACAGATCTGCAAAATATTTATAGGTTGTCTTTGTAATATGTATTTATTCTTGATAATACTGTAAAAGGCGAACCTAGTGAATAAAAAATTGTTCAGTCAGTGATTTTCAGACAAGTTTTTATTATTACCTCTCATTCAATAATATTAATGAAAATTAAAAATGAAAAAAGCGTATTTTTTTCAATTTTTTTTTTCAATTCAGTGAACCTACTTTTAACATCGGTTCCGAACGGCCAATGGGCTTGTTATGAATGTACATTAACTAACAATTATCATAATTAGACTACTCAAGTCGTAGACAAACACATACACTAATGCCTTCACCGGGGATCGAACCTGAATCCTAACGCACCATTGTCGGGTGTTTTCCCGACTAAGCCACGAAGACCGGCATTTTTATATATAATACTAATGGATTATTCCAAAGTTACTGATGAATCTATCGAATATTTATGTTGTATCATTTATTATTGAATCAGTAATTATATAATGAACTCGAAGTATAATTGCATGTCTTATATGTCTATATTTGGTACTATTTGTTCAATAAAGCGGTACGAATTTTGAAAATTACAGTATGATGGATCTATTGAAACAAGCGTCCCAAGTGAAACATACGATTTCCACACTGAATCCTGAAATTTTCAGAGCGGAAAATAATGATGTCACTTCTAGAAGCCAACGGGTACCTTGACGCCATAGCTTTCTCATATTTCAGGGTTTTCTCGAGATTATCTTTCAATTTCTCCCGCTTTCTCTTCAATGATACCAGTATATTATTTCTTTCCCTAGCACCTCTCATTTTCGATATACTGTTGTTGTTTGTTTTGATACTAGAATCGAATGCTGAGGAAATCTATTGCTGAGAGGAAAATTGAAAACATTCGGGGAATGGGTAGAAAATGGGAGAGGTAAACAGTGATGGCTGAATGGAAACCGGGGGATTATCTTAGATCTTCTATAAATATATCGCTATTTGGTGCTGATATCGAAATGCTATTTTGTTTGCGCAGTGTGGAACCACGAAAACGACTTTGGAATGTTTTGAATGAAAGGGGGCTGTTTCGTTTTGAAATGATATTTGAATAGAATAAAGTTTTAAGAATAATATTTGAGAGTCACTGAGAATTTTCAGAAAAAATAAAATCCTAGAAGTTCGAATTAATAGAGAGTATTTACAGTAGCCAAATGTCGTATAAATATATAATTTTCTGCTTCATTTAGATATTTTCGTTTTATTGAGTTGAATATCATAATAATTCATGAAATAATTCCATTAATTCATTGACAGTTTTATTGTCATTTTATTTTCTTGACGTTTTTTTCAATTTTATTTCATTTATTTTCATGACTGAGATTGAATTCTCGCTTAACTCTTGGTGAAACATAATTGAATATTAAATTGAATTGAACTCTTGGCTTAATTAATGTTTCACGATTGATTCAACAATTTGTTATAGTCAACATGTTTCGAGCGTTAGCTCAGTTAATCTTGAAAATGAGCTAACGCTCGAAACATGTTGACTATTTCATATTGTTGAATAAATCGTGAATCATTAAGCCAAGAGTTTAATTTAATTTAATATTCGTTTATTTTCATTTATCTTCATTAGTCCCCATTCGTTTTTCGAATAAATAATACACTGTTAATGGAATATCAGTATTTGTTCAATTCCTGATCGTATTGAAGCTAAGAGCTATTAGGTGAGTTATCAATATTCATTAGAGAAATGGAATGAAAATTCGTTTCCTCTAACGCATTTCCACAACAATCACAGATCGATTCCTGAAAACAAAACATGATATTTCAATATTTATATTTGCTCCCATCAATTTGTTCAGTTTTTGAGTTTACTCTGTAAAAGATTTAAGTTAGTGAGATCTTTCAGAAATTTATTTCTCTTTTCTTCATATTATAACTGGGATAAAGAATTTCCAACTGGTAGATGTCAAAGAATTCGAAACAATCCATTATTAAAAATATTTTGAAAATAAAATTTGTGTACTTTTTTAGATGGACCGGGTGTTCCTCAGGGATATCATTTAAGGACCCTTACTATTAATAATTCATTCGAATAATATTTTCAGCTGCTTTCGCCATACTTTGTTCTTGGTATAAGTCGCTTATGCTTCTATTGTAAGTCACAATTGTCAACTAAACCTGAAAACCAGTGTTCTAGTTCTATTTAATTTCTACAGGATCATAGGTTAACAATAAGTTCCAATTTAATGAAGGCTGTGTTTCATTTTCGATAATATTTGAAAATCCGTCTTTAATTCTATAAAAATCCTTAATCATTACCCGAATAGTTTAATCTCACTTACTATCAAGAAATTGGTGGTTTGCTTATCAAATACGTTCTATTTATCACATCTATAGGAAAATTGTGGAAAAACTTCATTTCCAAAATGGTTACAATCAGAACAAACAATATTTCATAATCTGAAATGTTACGAATAATTATACTGTTATTGTGTCTAAGTAGAATGTACAGAAGTGGTTCATGTCAAACAGTACAATGCAATTGTACTGATGAAATGAGTTTAGTCTGTGCTTCCAATGGACAAACCTTCAACAATACATGTGAATATACTTGCTTTGTGCAAAACGACGCATCAGCGGCACTCCAACTATCACTGAAACCTAAATCTTTTTGTATTCACAACAATGAAACAACAAACGGAAACAAAACAGGAACATCTGCCTAAACATATTATAACAAATACGATTATAATATGTGAAACCTTATTTTGTTGAGAATTGGAATAAATATCTATGTGAACGGTGAGTTGATTCGAATTAAATGATAATCTTGCCTAATTTGTTTCATTTTCCTAAGTGATTTCAAACTTCTTGTTAAATTTGTTATGAGGTTTCTAAGGTGTTAAAAACGACGTATGAGGCAGTGTACTACTTTTAACTATTGTTAACTTGATACACTGCTTTGTCTCTTAAATTAAAATGAAACGTCACTTTGTGGCAGACAAGGCAATCAAAGGATAGTAAGCTGCACGAATTTACAGTTACCTTTTTATATTATTTAGATGTTAACGCTTTGTTGGTTGGAATTCGACTTTTCTTTCCAGGAATATTCAACACAAAGTAAGCAGTGATGTCTGGTTGAGATCTGTTTTCTATCACGTCTCACAATATATTAGTTTCATCTGTTTGTCTATTTCTAGGAAGGTAGTTCTCGACCGAACGAGGAGGGACTTTTTGTCCTTCAGTATTCTGAAACACTCGAATTCCCAACTATTTTCTTGTTTTCAATTCTGATCTACACGACATTGATTAGTTTCTTAGACTAGAATTTCTGAAATAATCGAGAGAATGTTGAGAAAGGGAAATCAAAAAGGATGCCTTTTGTCAAATTCAATATTTTTCGTTTCCAAGTTGAAATTTTTTTCGATATTACAGTTTTCTCTTTGTCATTTAAGAATTTCATATATTATATCTTCATAGTAGAAGAAGAATTTGTGCATATATACGTACTCCGAAGAATGTTAGAGGTTAGTTGAACCTTCACAGCATCGTATCGGACTAATTCAGAAAGGTATTTTGTATGACATATGAAAAACCGAAATTCCAACCACATCTGTGGTTGGAATTGCTGAAGAACGAGGAGCTATTTGGCTCGCAGCCCGCAACTCTGATGATAATCGAGAAAAACGACAGAAACATAAGAGTATAATTTAAATTTTTTTGTTGTTATTTTTCTTTGTGATATGTATGAGAATTAAGTGAATACAACTTTGTTTTTCTTATACAAGGTTTTGTTTTTTTTTATAAAAAAAAAGAATAATTTCTTTCGTTTTCTTTTTGCTTCTGAGTTGTCTTGAATTTTTCAATTCTTTCACTATAAAATTATAAATTTATTGTGAATGTATGAGTTTATTATTTAGGAATCATTTCCCATATTTGTTTATTTTTCCTGTATACTTGTTTCTGCTGCGTAAATAGATTACGAAGCGAAGAAGGCCAAATATTTTCATAATTGAATTTGAAATATTCGGTTAGAAAATATTTTACATATTAACATAAAGGATACTTCATGTTTGAATTATAATTGATGTATATGAAATAAGTTTCTATTCATATCATGTGAATTCATGTTCATGATGTGAATAAAATCGAAATAATTAAGCTATGTGATATAAGAATCTATCTCAAAAAATAATATTTTTCCGCAAACAACTTTTCTGAAAACGTTTTTTCATCTTCAACTTGTTTGAGGATCCAGTAATATCCAAAAACTCTGAATAAACGTTTTATCCATACATCCTCCAAACAAGACATAAATACTGAATTCTAGTCGAAAACCGAGTAAGTAGGGATGAAAAAGGAATAGAATTCCATTTTTAATTAGACACCCTAACGTCTTCATTAAATTTGGATCGTGGCCTTTGTGCTTGTGCACAATTTTAATAAAACCCTTATAAGACGTGAAATTTCTGCGTTATAAAAGTTACTAGTCGCCACTTTGATTAGCTTTTATTAAAGGAAATTTAATTAAAATAAGAAAACCGTAGCGATATGGTGAACTCACGTTTTTTGCGCAGGGATGTATTGGCCGCTGAGCTTCAGGAATTGACTAATCATGTTGAATATTTACGCAATTTTTGTGAGGTAATATTCATGAATTTTATTTTCATTGTTGTTTTATAATCAAACTCTTCGTATAAGTGTTTTTTTGTGTCTCAATAAACGGGGAGAAGTGTTATGCGACATAGAGCATTAATGTTATTATTAATTCTAATATATAAGATATCATGGTGTTATTATACAACATAACCTTCACTTTTTCCATATACGTTAGTCTACACCGAAAGTGTTGAAGTAAATTCGATGTTTCCATCTTTTTCTGGATTCTTCAGCTACTCTTATCGAGTTGAATCAATCAATACCAAATTCATTGAAGAGAGTAAGATCAAAAATCAATACTTATAATATGAAAATATATATATTGACCTATTACAATTTTTCATCACTTTTACAAATTTGAAGATCTCAAAAATGTGTTTCTGGACAAGCTTCGCGTTGCTAACCCAGAACTTTCCTCAAATGACTTACATAATTTCCGAATGTATCAAATAATTTGAATCACTTTGCTCAAATTCGCAAAATTATCTATTTCATTCGATATATTGTTGAAGAAACCAATTCACAAGACGTGATATTACTAATTGGTATGTCCTCAACATATAATATGAAAAATGATGGACCCGTTATAGCACCTTGTGGTACACCTTCATGTACATTTAACGATTCAGATTGACTATCATACAAAACAGTTTTCTTTTATGTATTTCTCAAGTGATTTCCTTTCCATTTCAAATGTACAAGTTATAATAAACAATTTTATCCTTCTATAGTTTCGAAAATCCTCC